AGTATTCCCATCTGCTGTGTGTAGTCAGGGGCTCCTGCAGGAGCTCGGGCAGTTCGAAATCCTCGGGCCTGGTTACCGAGAAGGCGGTCTGGATTGGCACCGACTCGTCGGATGGCCGGGCATCTTCTTCGGGCTCCTTTGCCTCGCGGGCTTCACGACGGGGAGCGTCGTTTCTCCTGTACTGTGCCAGTCTCCCCCCTTTGATGAGGGTTTCAATGGCGTCCTTCAGGTGGACGCAATCCTCTGTCAAGTGACCATGACTCCTATGGTACTGACAGTATTTGTTTTTGTCTACTCCTGGCTTGGCAGGAGCTGGTCGGGGACGCTTGACGCCACCGTCTTTAAAATCTGTGCTTGCACACTCCGCCAGAATACGCTCGCGGGAAGCCGTGAGCGGAGTGTACTCAGTAAACCGGCCCGAGGGGCCCCTTTGTTCCCGGACCTCCCGGGGTCTGTCTTCCTTCCTCTTCTCTCCGATGCGTCGGGGAGGAGGGTCTTGTCTCGAGCTGCTTCCATGGTTGCGGGCCCTGGAGTCTCGTGCCCTGTTGGCAGCTTCTCTCTCCTCGTAGTCCATATATGCTCGAGCTTTGTCGAGGAGAGCATCAAAAGTTGCAGGTGGCTCAATGCCCACAGCTTTCCTGAATTCTGTGCCGGGGAGGAGGCCCCTCTCCAGCAAATACCTCTTCATATGGTCCGCGCAGGGGACCTATATTGCTTCCCGGTTGAAGCGGTTGATGAATTCCCTCAAGGTCTCATCATGTCTTTGAATGATGGCCTCGAGGGCTGCCTCAGTCTTTGGGTGGCGACGAGAAGCTGTGAAGGAACTGATGAACTGGTTCTTCAAGTTCCTCCACGAGGTGATGGAGCCCGGGGCAAGTCCTTTGTACCAATCCATGGCCGCCTTCCTGAGAGTTGTTGGGAAGAGACGACACTTGATGGGCCCCCCGACATTGTGATAGTGGAGCATGGCTTCGAACCCGTCAATGTGGTCGACTGGGTCCGCCACTCCATCATACTCCTTTAGGTGTGGGGGTTTCTCCATGCCCGGGGGAATAGGTGCGTCCATGATTGCCTGCGACAGGGGACCGCGGGGGTCATCCTCGTCGCTCCTTTCTGGAGAAAGAGAAGGGGTCCTGTAGTGATGTCTGGCACGCTGGTCGTGCTGAGACTCCCTCGAGCGTGATGCTCGGTGGTTGAAGGTCACACGCCCGTCTCTGTTGTGCCTCCTGTCGTGCCTTGATGGGTCGCGACTGGGCTCTTCGGCAGGGATGACGGGCTGTCTTTCATACTGGGGCCGCCTCTGCCTTGGTGGGGGAGAAGGGCTCCTAGAGTTCTCCCTGTGATGTCTCCGCGGGGGAGTAGGGTGTCGAACTTCTTCGACCCGAGGAGGTGGAGATGGTGGCCTTTGATGTCTCCTCGGGGGGCGTCGATCATGTTCAAGTGCCCTTAGTCTTTCTCCTTGGGCGAACAGGAGATACTTCGTCTGGTTGATGGCCGCGAACAGTGCCTGAGTCGTGGCATCTGCCCCGGCAGGGACTTGGACTTCATAGAACCGGGCAGCTTGGCGATAGGCGAGAGCCTCCGGGTCGTCCTCGAGTCTTGGAGGAGTTGTCGAGGAGGACGCAATGTTCCCGTCCCTGCGGGTGGAAGGTCCAGGGGCGGTTGTCACGGGGACGGTATTGTGGCCGGCACCACTGGGAATGTCCAGCTGCCCATTCTTGTCCGCGGGACCGTTGTTGGCGTCGAGGACGCGGGTGTGTTGTTCTTCACGAGTTGGAGAGGCCATGACAGTGAATGGATTGAGCTTTGGTCTTTGAAACTGTTCGTTAGACGGGGAAGCTTTTTCCCACAGACGGCGCCACTGATCTGACCTGATCAGAAGGTTTGGACCGTCACGGCTTACTCCGAGCTGAAGGCTTTTTGAACGAGGAGGGGGGGTACCTGCAAGGCACTCCGATGCTAAAGTCAGTGGGAGTACGAGCAGATAATAGAGTTGAGGTTAGAATGATGAATACCTGACCCTCTGGAAGCAGAGGGTATTTATAGCCCCCAGCGCTGGGCCAAGGTTCCTTCATTGGGCTGGGCGGATTTGGCCCAATGGAGGAACTGCCAGGTTCTACGTGGGTAGTGGGGACCAGCACGTGGTCCCCCTCTTGGATATGCTGATGAAATGCGGGCGGACGGAGACGCGGTCTTTCCGGAGTTTCGTTGGGGCAATGGAAGACTAAGTCTGCCCTAGCAAGTTAGCTCGAGACCATGTCGAGCTGCGCAGCACGGTGCCGAGCTCGACGCCAAGACCTCGAGCTGGACGGCGGATGTCGAGCTGGAAGCCAGGACATAGAGCTGGACGGCATGCTGTCGAGCGGGACTTCATCGTGGGGCTAGACACCGAGATGTCGAGGTGGACATCAGGGTGTCGGGCATGGACGTGACCCCCTTTGCCCAGTGTGGTCCTTAGTGAGTCCCTTTGGACTGGGCCTTAGTAATGCTTTTGGGCCTGTCGGGCCCAGTCCAGAACAGTATCGATATTAGTACCGGTGTTATGTTAGTTTAAAAAATCATTTTAGTTTAATCAATATTGAAAAATAACATTATATAGTTTTGTTTTTTTATAGTCAAATTTTTATCTGTTAAAGGGTTATTCCTATTTAAGAGTTTGTTATTCATATTTATTTTAATTTTAATAAATTAAAAATATTTATTTAATTTGTAAATTAAATTATTTTAAAATAATCAAGATAATATAAATTTAAATGCTTTAAAATTAATATAACAATAAATAATTTTTTTAATTAATTTACTTTAAACATTAAAATCATATCAAATAACAACTTATTATTTTTTTACATGTGAAGAAACACTCGACAATCTTTTTTCTAAATGCTGAATTTTATTGGTGAATATCAACACAATAATACTATTTTATTTTAATCAATAATAATCTTTTTTTATTTTTTAAATGTCAAAACTTATATGATTGATTTTATGATTATTTAATACATTTAAAGTTATATGATTATTATTAATTTTATAGTTAAGTAATTTAATTCTAATTTACATTTGCAACTAAATATATTTTATATTGTATTTTAGTTTTTTTATAATTGATTTTAATATTGTGAGTTTAAAATATGACAATAAAGATACACTATTTTAGTTTTTTAATATTGATTTTGTTATTGTGTCTTCAAAATAAAGATTCTCAACTTTTTTATACAAAATCACGAAAAAATATCATATTAAAAATAAAGATTCTCATTTTTAAAAAAAATAATTTATACGTAACAAAAATATATAATATTATAAATATTAATGTTATGGAAATTAAAGATTCATTTTGTTTAATTTGTTTATATAATTTCTTTTTTTGAAAAAGTGGTTTGTTTATATAATATTATTGTGTTTCTAAATTTATGACAATGTTATTTAATTATAGAGTATAATTTTTTTATTTTCAAAATTTTATTAATCAAAGAGTTATTCTTATTAAAGAGTCTGTCGTTCATTTTTATTTTAATTCTAATAAATAAAAATTATTTATTTAATTCTTAAATCAAATTATTTTAAAATAATCAAGATAATATAAATTTAATTTTTAGAGAATTTATACTAATTTTTAGAATAAAATTATTATTATTATTATTATTATTATTATTATTATTATTATTATTATTATTATTATTATTATTATTATTATTATTATTATTATTATTATTATTATATGTTTCAATGAATCTAAATAAATAAATATTTTGATATTATTAGATTGTTTTTCTAAAAGAATTTTATTTCAATTATATAATTTAGGTTGTTTCTACAAAAGAGTTAAGGATTTGATTTTTATTTTCATAAAAGAAAAATACGAGACAATAATGATAGGTGAATATATATAAATTTTTTTGTCCGATAAAAAATATTCAATTAATTAAATATGACTTTTTTATAAATTTATTTAAAATATTATCATAAATTTGATGAAAAAATTATATCTAAAATATACATTTCCTATGGATCGACACTATTTAATCTGTATATCTTATTTATTATTTATAACGGTAGTATACAACCATATGTATTAGACTATATACTCATATATTTTTTAATATAATTTATATTTATATCCTGACAACTATTAGAATTTAATAAATTGAATTAAAATCAATCTCTTAATTTATATATATATTTTAACCATAACTATATAATATTAATTAATATTTATATTGATTTTATGCGATCCGTGTCAATGCACGAGTCATATTTTTCTTAACCATCATTATACTATCTTTATTTAATATTTATAACAATATTACACAGCTATGGAAACACACGGGTAAATATTTATATCGATCTTACGCGACCCGTGCGAACGCACAAGTTTTATATATTTTTTAACTATCATTATACTATTTTTATTTACTATTTATAACAATATTGCACAACCATATAAACATACAGGTAAATAATCAATTTTATACATGCGTGTGAAGTGTATTAGATTATATATTCATATATTTTTCAATATAATTTTTATGTATATTCCGACAACTACTGCGACTTAATAAATTAAATTAAAATTTATGTAATAATTATAATAGAAAAGTTTTTTTCTTTCAATTCATATATATTATATATATATATATATATATATATATATATATCTTTTAACTATAACCATATAATATTTATTTAATAATTCATATATATTATATATATATATATATATATATATATATATATATATATATATATATATATATATATATATATATATATATATATATATATATATTTTAACTATAACCATATAATATTTATTTAATATTTATTTAATATTTATACGAAGCCAAACCCAGTATATGCATAAAACCCTACTTCAGTCTCCCTGCGTTTACTTTCCATTGCCCTGTACACACATAACACAACAATCAATAGAACTGAGCAAAGAGGAACGGAAATTAGCAGAGAATAGAGAAGAATCAGAGGCGGTGAAAAATTGAAAAATGGAAGGTGAAACAGAGGCGATAATGGAGCAGAGGACTGTAGTCAACAACGTGATGTGCCTCTTGACGCACCAAGATGGAGCTCCTCTTGGTGCTCCTATGTACCTTCCTCAGAACATAGGTCCACAGCAGCTCCAACTCATTGTCAATCAGCTTCTACAAAATGTAACCTAATTTCCTACTCATTATTTCATTCTTTATTATCATTGCTTTGTAGTTTTCATTTCAATTTAGCTTACTTTTCCGAGTTTTGTAATATCTAGGTATAATTTATCTAAATCTAAGTTTCAATTTGGCTTATTTTTCATTTCATTCTTTATTATCTCCAACGGTGAAACCAAACGTACACTTAGCGTGTGTTTGGTTCTGCGGTGAAAAACATTGATTATAAGCAAATTGATTATGTAAAATTGATTCTGACTAAAAGTGAGTTGAAGGTAAAGTGAGTTATGTTTGAACAAATTCTTTCAAAAATGAATTGAACCGTAAAATCACTTTTAGACTCAAAAGCTACAAACCCTGGTTTCAGTAGAATCAATTCTACCAGAGAGCAACCAAACATGTCAAAATCAATTCTACCAGAGAGCAACCAAACATGTCAAAATCAATTCTACCAGAGAGCAACCAAACATGTCAAAATCAATTCTAAGTATTGCAACTGAGAAACCAAACATACAGTAAATTGAGAAAAAGTTATGATGTTAAGGATGATTTTGTAAAGAAATGGTCTGGCCAAAACTTTTACTACGGACAGTTACTTTTGGAATTCCCTTTGTATTATGTTATAAATATATGTATTAAAGTTGATTTGATTGAATTTTTGTCTATATTCTCAATTTAGGAGGAGAAATTGCCTTATGCATTTTATATATCAGATGAGGAGCTTCTTGTACCACTTGAAACATACTTGCAGAAACACAAAGGCTAGTCATGTTTCACACAAAGTTGTTGTTTTTTAAATTTGTTCACTTGTTTGATTTTTACTAATGTTTTTCTTTTCCTTTGTGATGTTAATATAACATTATTTCAGTGTCGGTGGAGAAAGCATTGCCTATAGTTTGTCAACCTCAAGCTGTTTTCCGGATTCGTCCTGTGAGTCGATGTTCCGCAACAATATCTGGTATGAAGTCTCAATCATTGTAATGGCATAATGTTGCATGTAGAATTATTCTAAAATTTGTATTGTTTTTTATTGTGAAATTAAGCAAAAGTTAAAACGGAAATGTGATTTGGCTTTTGAAGATTTTGGATTAATAGTGTATTGTTGTCATTTTCTTTGGAATTCATGTTGTTGAGATTATTTGTAGGTCATGGCGAAGCTGTATTGAGTGTTGCCTTTAGTCCTGATGGGCGGCAGCTAGCAAGTGGTTCTGGTGATACCACTGTTCGATTTTGGGACCTTGGCACTCAGACACCAATGTACACATGCACAGGTGTGATATTTAAAGATGATAAATTCATTCTTTTTGTCTGCCAAACATAATTTACTCATTTTAATTAAAGCAAGAAACAATCATATTTAGACATTCTTTTCTCACAATAGCAAAAGTAATCAATTTGAATAGTGGGACTATGCTCTCAATTCCAATGATTGAGAGAACTTTTTGATATATTGTGTAGTTTAAACCCGTTTCAAATTGATGCCTATTACCGCGGGAATATGCTATGGGAAAGTAATGAGAAATAGTGGAACGAAACAAGGAGAAGGAAATGTGATATTCACGCTGGTGAGTCTAGAGTTTAACTGTATGTCGAGCTTGCTAGGAAAAAACGGGAGGTTGAAATTAGGTTAGGGGAAGGCTTAGAACTTAATAAGTATGAACATAGTCAATTTCCGAGCAAGGAATAAGGATTTGTGATTGGGAGAGAGGTTGCAACTTGCAAGTCTCTTGAATGTCCTGTAGTTTTTTTTTTCTTTTGCTGATTTGAAGGATTACAGAGGTCTACCTCTGCTTTATTGTTCCTTATATAGTTTTGATAGGAGGCTGCCTATTTGAAATGTATATGCTAGAAGAGTTTCCGTTCTCTCTATTAAGTATCGATTGATACACCATCATATTTGTAACACACATTCTTTTGTATTTATCAGAACATGTCATATACAGTTGCTTACATTTGATGCAGGACACAAGAACTGGGTCCTTTGTATTGGATGGTCACCCGATGGCAAGTATCTTGTAAGTGGGAGCAAGTCAGGAGAACTTATATGTTGGGACCCACAAACTGGAAAGCAATCAGGAAATGCTTTAACTGTAAGTCTTTAACCTTGAATTCCAATTTGCATTATGAAGTTGTTTCCTTTTTCTCTTCATAATTTTTCCATTTAAAGTGCATTGGTAGTAACCCAATAAGAAGTATAGTGTCAGACTAAAGGCATGTATTGTCATTGTCAGAATAGATGATGGTACCATGGTGTTTATCACTACATGGAACTCAATTTGCATTGATGGTGACTGAAAATTTAGAGGATGCTGTAACTATAACAAGCGAATAATAAAGAATGGATTGGTTTGCATTTGAAAAGATACTTGATGTTCCACTACTTTTTCCATGTTCAAGAATCAAACAACGATTTTTTTTAAAACATGGCAACTTGAAACTCAGGGCTATGAATAACCACTTGCTGAAATAAATGATTGTAAAAAGTAGGCAGCAAAACATTGGTTGCAGCGGTGGCTCTTATATTTGTTAGAATAAGTACACTATTCTTACTGATACTGAATTTACTTTGCTCATCTTCCCTCTCCCACTAAATTACAAATCATAAAATAGAAGAGTAGCATGCTTTATTAATTATAGGTTTCCTTAGAAAATACAAATGTTAAGGAGATATTTTAGAATGGCTTATCATCTTTTTTTGGGATACATCAATGTTGTCAAATACCTGTCGTGACGGATTGCGGTGGCAGATTTTTCCACAATTGCCATGCCCAACTTGTGAAGCATGTCAGCTTATAATGGCGTATTTGTGGTTTTCTTCCGTGGTTCGCAACTGCAATCAGTAACACTGGGATACATGCATACATACTAGAAACAACCAGTTTGGTTAAGAATCAGTTTAAGAACATTTGTTGTTTGAAGAATTTTTTGTACATCATATTGTTTCATGGTCAATAAAATTTGACGTATACTTAATCAAATTGCAGGGCCACAAGAAATGGATTACTGGTATCTCTTGGGAACCTGTCCACCTGAATGCTCCTTGCCGCCGCTTTGTAAGTTCCAGCAAAGATGGGGATGCTCGTATTTGGGATGTTTCTTTGAAGAAATGTATCGTACTCAGTGGCCACACACTTGCAGTAACATGTGTAAAATGGGGTGGAGATGGTGTTATTTATACTGGGTATTTCTCCTTCTTTCCTTCCAATTTCTCTAAAAATTTTAGTCTGAACTTTGCTGCTAAATCAAGCTTTTGCCTAGAAAGGTGCTTCTTATTCATGTTTTCAAAGGACTCTTTTTATTTAGCCATTGAGGTTTTAGAATATGTTTTCTCAACATATCTAGTATACTTTGATCTTTAGGCGAATTTTTCCCGCACACCCCCTGTGGGAAGTAAAACCCCATTTTTGTTAAAATTTCCATTTAATGATTTTAATTCATGTCTATCTTTGTTCAGAGGTCTTATTTTTATACTTTAAATTCATCTAATCCCGATTTTAACTGATGGTGTGCTGCAGTGTTTTTCCTTTTTTTTTAAGAATAAAACAATGCCCTATCATCACTCTTTATTTCCGTACCACTACTACTCAGGTTCTGACTAGGTTTTTTTGTTACAGGTCCCAGGATTGTACAATCAAAGTTTGGGAAACCACACAAGGGAAGCTAATTCGGGAACTGAAGGTAGGCCTCATCCCTTCACAAATGAACTTTTTATGTGTTTGTTTAAAATTTGATTTGATTAATGTTATGTACATCTACAGACCTACTGTTACTTTTTTGTGCCAACCTTTTCTTCATTTAACGTTATTTTATGTTATTTTTTCCATGTATTTAATGTGTATCAGTGTAGTTGCCAAATGGAACTGTTAACTTTTAATACTATCATCAAATGTGTTGGTACACCATTTAAAAATTGACTTTCCGGGCATTAGAATCAAACTCTTTTATTGTTCATTTGTACACGAGGATCAAAATAAATCAGTAATACTTTGGTTTTGTGTTCAATCATGTTGCCTTATAAATTGAGGAATTTTATTTACCAATTACATTTTAATAGATAATCTATTATGTAATTTATCTATTTATTTACTTAAAAAAAATAGAGACTGTTATCTTGGAAAAAATATTGGAGTTTTATCTTCACTAATGTTCCGTTGAGTTTCTCTTTCTTTTTGGTTGTTTTTATTTATTTATTATGGCATCATTTTATTAACATTTCATTTCTTTTCCATACTATTTGATTTCTTCATATTTTGGGATTTATTTTAGGGACATGCCCATTGGGTCAATTCTTTAGCATTGAGCACTGAGTATGTTCTTCGCACTGGAGGTTTTGATCATACTGGAAAACATTATTCATCTCCAGAGGAAATGAAGAAGGTAATTCATAGTTTTTTTAACAGATATGTTAGACCTTTGAACCATAATTGTGTTGTTAGTTTCAAAACCCGATTGGCAATAATAAACCCAGATTTCAGGAATTGGATCTTAATCTAGAAGTTTTAAAATTTTAACTTTTTTCAAACATTTTTCAGATCAAACCAGATATTAAATGAGCTATTAAGTATATTGTTTCTCCATTAAATAGGTCATTTAAAATACTGTTTCTCTACTTTACAAGTTCCTTTCTCTAGAAACTACTTTTTCCATCTCTGTTTTACAAATACCAGTGTATGCGCTGATGTATGTAGGTTGCTCTTGAAAGGTACAACTCAATGAGAGGCAATGCCCCTGAGAGATTGGTCTCTGGATCTGATGATTTCACAATGTTCCTTTGGGAACCCTTCATCAACAAGCACCCCAAAACTCGCATGACAGGTCATCAGCAGGTATTTATTTTTCCTTACAATTTTAAAATATGCCAATGAGAACCAACCAACGTTATTCTCTCTTCAAATTGCAATGTGACTTCAGTTAGCATTAGAAAATAAGGATTTGAAAGAATTATCTAATATTACAGTTCTTGATACACAAAAAAAATGTTTAAATAGTAAGTTCTAATAAATCTATTGAGTTACTTGAGTGTTTGCACATGTCTATCTCTTATTATTTGTTGTTGCATCTGTTCATATGAATTTTACTTTATTGTCTTACAGATTACTTCACAATTTTTCAAGTTATAATTTTCTTTATATGCATTATCATGCACATTCCATCTTTAATGGTTAATGATACAAATTATATTTGTATGTTCACAGCTTGTGAACCATGTCTATTTTTCGCCTGATGGTCAATGGATAGCAAGTGCTTCTTTTGATAAATCTGTTAAGATATGGAATGGAACTACAGGGGCATTTGTCACTGTCTTTCGTGGCCATGTTGGGCCTGTTTACCAGATCAGGTATAGCATGCGTGATTCAATCTTATTTCAAACTTCTAGCCAAATATATTTGCAAACTACAATTAACCAACCGTGTTGACTTTTACTATACAGCTGGTCTGCAGACAGTAGACTTCTTTTAAGCGGAAGCAAAGATTCTACACTAAAGGTAACCATTTTGTTTATTTTTCCGTTGATATTTTTTATTTGGTTTGTATAGTAGAAATCAAACCAATGGGTGTGACTCAGTTGGTTAAGCAGCACCAAAGTTGTGGGTGAGTACCATGGTTCATTCCCCGCAGAGCTTAAAGTTGCACCCTAAGCACCTGAGCGGATATCATTTCTATAGCCGGTCCAAAGGATCGAAGCTTGTGGAGAAAAAAATACTCTTTGGCGACACTAGGGTGCTAAAGACCCTAATTACAGTGGTCTCCGACCAAAATAGTAGAACCTATCATTTGCGAAACAAGAACTCTGACCTTACATTGTGTTTGATTTTCAAGGTTTGGGATATTCGGACTCGCAAGTTGAAGCAAGATCTTCCGGGCCATGCCGATGAAGTATGTTATAGATGCTAAATAATTGAATGATTTAAATAAAATAAAAATTACCACTCTGGTTGGCTTAACCTAAGTTTATATTCTTGCCGTGAAGGTGTTTTCTGTTGATTGGAGTCCAGACGGAGAGAAAGTGGCTTCTGGGGGTAAGGATAAAGTGTTGAAGTTGTGGATGGGTTAGGCTAATTTTGGACCAACATTGAGAATCTATCTATTCTCCATACTGTTGCCGTTGCATGGAAATCAATGACTGGCTATTGTGTGGATGCAAGATCATTTTCAACTATAGGATATGAATGTCTATTCATACTATATTGCCATTGAGATTAGGCACTGGAAGAACAAGTTGCTCAAAGTGAGTCTCAGGTAAAAAAGCTGCCTGAATTGCTTGGGGGTTTATTATACGCTTGCGAGAATATACTTCGCGATTGTTTTTGGTATTGTCCTATTGTTTATGAATGACAACTATGGCAATTTTGTTTTTTTGTTAGTAATTGTAAACTGAGTATGCAAGGGCTAGCCCTAAGATGGCTTTTTGTTTGCGCCTTGACAGTTGACACTATTTAAAATTTGAATGTGAGGAATTTTTTTTGCATATTCTTGATTTTTCATTTTTCTCATTCTGTTTTGATTGTCATGTGAAATTTTAAATTCCAACACAAACATGAGAAATGAAGTGTAATATATTTATAGAAATATGTCTGGGATGAAAATTATTACAAGAGCAAAACTTGTGTCGGCATATGAAACACTTTCTAGTTTTCTTTGTAAAGAATATCAATCTCATGAATTTCCAGTTGAACATTTAATGAATCTTCATTTTCGGTGTAACCAATTAACCAATATTATATAATTTTTATTTTTTTTGAATTCAAACCTAAGAATAAGATATGGGTATATTTTACTTTTGTGTATTCGAATTCAAAGCTTATAATTTTATCTTTTTGCTTAGAAACTCTAAGGTGGTTTTTTAAAATATATATCCGCTTTTAAATTTAAACAGTGTAAAAGCCTTCTAAAATTTTAATCAAATTTTATAGAAATGGTTTTATTTATATGATATAAACTTTGGGAAATGCTCTCTTTCCATTGTGTGGGTGTGCCCCACATCTCTTGGAAATTTGAAAATGTCTTATGTGTTCCGAGATGTAAAATCAAACAAGTTTTTGTATTTTTGATATCCACTCCCATTTAACAAAATATGATTCGAAGATACATTTCTGTATAGTATTTGGGTGTATTTGAAGATGTATTTTTGAAATATCACTTAAAGTCATTTAAAGGTAAATGACATAAGATATTGAGTGTATTAAAAAATGTATCTTCAAAATATCAACTGAAGTCATTTAAAGGTAAATGACATAAGATATTTTGGAGATACATCCTCGAAAATCCCTCTAGATGCTTTCAAGGTAGTAGTATTGTCTCAACATCGATTTTTTTAGACCAACTCATATTTTAGATGATTTTAGACCATAAATTAAAAAATGGATATACTAATTGATTCAAACATATACTAAAAGAGTTCCACATTAATTAAAGTAATCAAAATATAAAATAAATACATAACTTGTTAAAAAAATACAAATAAATATAAATTACTAGGTTTGTCTAACCCTCCGGCTTCTCCTCTGTCTGTACTGCAAGTAGGAATAGAAATATGTCAGACTAATAACAGGGTCCTACAGGCTAGCCTACATAGGTTCAGACCAGGTCAGACATTTTTTAAATAGAAAAGACTTAGACTTTTTATGTTAAAAAGATTAGGCCAACTGCAAAAAAGCCTTTTAAACCTATCCGGCCGATCTATTTAAATAAATATGAATAATTTTATTATTATTATTATTATATAGTGTTTGTATTCTAAATTAAAATACAAAAATAAAGTTTAGATGTCTAGAAGGACTTATGAAAATGCGCTGAAAAAACCTTATGAACAATGTAATAAGTTGTTTTCATAAGGTCTCTCAAATAAATAGTATCACAAAATATATGTTAATAGGTAAATTTGAATAAGTCAATGCAAATAAGCATCTAGTCTAATTAATCTTTTAATTTGTTAGTCTATTTTCACATTAGTTGAATTGCTTATTTGAAAATATTGATATAAAATAGGTTTTTATGTAGGCTAATAGGTCAATCAGGCTTCTGAGAAGGTCTGACTCAAGCCTAAAAACAAGTCTTTGATAGGCCACAGGTCAGACTCAGGCTTTGAAATTTTTAGCAGGCTAAACTCAGGCTTGGCAAAGCCTAGCTCGGCCTAACCTATTTCCCCATAACTGCAAGGCATTCCGTGTCTCAACAATCATGTCTTCTATGAGGGTAAACTGGTGACTGCCTTTTTCAAAAGTCATTCATTTATGCCTGATCTCCCCATCTCTACAATACGCCGACAAACTTCCGACATGTTCTCGGTGTGGTCATCCCTAGCTTAAAGTACCTCCTGGTTAGCTGGTCTAGATGGTCTTCCAAAAACATCTGGTGTCATGATAGGGTGTGCATAAGTCCAATATACAGAAGGTGACACCCTGCCATACTCCTCTGGTACCAATTGACTCTCGAAATCCTCAAGTATCACATCAAGATCTCTACAACGAACGGTGGGAAGAACCAATTCTAATGACGGTCTCAGAATAATTTGTAAATAGCCAAACTGGCGCATCACTCGCTCGGGAAGATAATAATACGTTAGAGTTGATCCATATTCCAGCCATCCGGAGTATAAAAAGATGACGTCCAGCTGACAAGTCTCGCAGTGACCGTCGCATGGACAAAAGGCAATATCATTTGCTACATGACAATCAAGATACACTCTGAATGACTCGATCACATGACAATCAAGAATTTTACGAAGATTGAAATTCAAACGTGTTCATTTAAGCATTTACGCTAAGAACTTTTCTTCTTCATTCACTTTCATTTAATCAAATTTGAATAAGTGAAATAGAGCAAACCATCTCCTACTTTTACACCAAAAAAAATCTTTCTAACAAAGTCTAGTCCAGTACATTCAAGCTTGACAGATTTTTCAAATTTTAATTTACTACATTCAAACTAAGATGATACATCTCTTACATTTACTAAGTTTTTCTTTTTCTTACATATTTCTATTTGTGGTGCATGCATTTTCTAGATAGGTTATAGTTATACTATATTAAGTTATATGCAATAGAAATGTTTATTTGTTTTTTCCATATTAGGTTTGGTTAGAAATTTTGAACTTTTGAGCTTATGGTTCATTGCATGCTACATTTTCTGGTTCTATGCAGTCGAGATTTTGAAGTCTGAATAACAAAACTTACTTTTCTATTTTATGGACTGTTTTGAATTTTTGGTTTGTTAATACATTGTTTTTGCTTCATTGATAATGATATGCATTTTATTGTTTGATTTTAGGAATAATAGTTGACAACCAAGACAGAATGGGACATGGTGAAGAGGCACAATATGCCTTAGTGTGCAGAGAAAAACTAGACCCTTACGACTTGTGATTGGAGAATCGCCATTTACTGTCGAGGGATAGTCTTCTCGGGGTCATGTATCTTTAACTCATTACGAAGCCTATGTTTCTCTAGTACATGTTGATGTACTGGATGTCGTGCTTGACAGTTTCCCAGAAAGCCCCTCAAACCTTTCCCTACTTCTTATATACACCATGTTGTTAGACACGTGTGGAACTCCCAGTGAGAGGGAGAGGTAACATAAAAATTGAATTGTATGTGTTAAACATTTGTGTTATAGCGATTGAATTTACTAATCATAATGTATTTATTTTTGCAGTACCAGGAGACATTGAAATGGATCAAACATGGCAGGAAGGTACCAAAGCTTTCACATTCCAACGAACCATGGTTTCAGGATGTGTTGTTGTTATTTAGGCTATAGTATTTCTACAAAACTCTATATAGTTATATTTAGAGGTGACAAAAAAGGCCCGGCCCGTCGGGCGTGCTCGTTTTGTCTGCACTTTTTTGTGGGGCAAACCAAGATTTTAGACACGCACCCTCTAATATACTCGTTCCGCTTTGCTTCGTTTTTTAGGGATTTTGCAGGCACTGTCATTAACATGAAAATTTTCAATTTTTAGGCTTAAAAAGAGCAATGCCCGCAGGCCCGTCCCGCCCCACACTCATTTTTTTTGCGGGGCATGGCAAGGTTTTAGGCCCACAATTAGTTGGAAATTTGACGCTCAAGTTTAAATAATGGAAAGAGTTTGAAGAAGAATTCGAGAAGAGCATTGGAGATAGTCAAAGTTTGTTTTCGACAAGAATAAATGTGACGTTTCGACCAAAGTCTTGGAAAATGGTACAATGATGGGACTTAGAATTTTTTGAAGATGCTTCAAAGCAAGTTTGACAAAGATATTTAAAATGAGGCTGATAACTGAATTTTGGCCTTATCCGTTCTTTTGAAAAGAGACGCATGGAGGCCTACAAAGGGCAGAACGCATGCAAGCGAGAACGTGTCATCCTCTGAGCAGAAGACCCTTCACTACCGTTAGTGTTAAATTAGTATAAATATGAGTCTTTAGTGTTAGGATTCTGCGTGTGTTCAGTATTGTACAAATTACTCATATTTAGTCAAAGTACCAAAGTGTTATCGAGAAATGAATTTTTGAGAAATTTACGTATGAAGTACGATATTTACTTTAAATGTGAGTTTATTTTCATTAAAGTTGTTTATATTCCTTTTAAATTCCAGTTGAAACTTCTCTACCTTCATATTACTCTCATAAATAGTCTTATTACTATTTTCAAATTCACCATTACTTTCAAAGAAGTCAATATCCATAGAACTTAAACAAAAACTTTACACTTTCGTCCTAGGATCAATCTAGTCAATCCTGTAAGTAACCAAAGGCATTAGATTTTGTAAGGCTAGCACTTGTTTACTAAATTTCACAGTAAACAAATTGGCACGCCCAGTGGGACCAATGTCTAGTTTGTGTGTTTTAGAAGTTTTTCTACATTTTTTCATACAAAATTTTCTCTAAACATTGTTGCATGAGATTAAGAAGTGGTAGAATAGTCAGAACTAGTGAAGCAATACCAAAAAGGAAGAACATTATAAGAATGGTTAATCCACCAAACAACAATGGAGAACAACCCCCTCATTCGATAGGGGAAATACGACCGTAGTATCTGTGCCGAAATAATTCCTTCTACAGTGAGTACGATGACA